CCACACTCTTCTGGCGATCTAAGAAAATGTTTATCTCCCTGAGCCTGGCCTTCATAATTCCATTCCATCACATCAGCCTAGCGAAGAGGAGACCCGAGAGCAGTCTCCCAATACTTGAAGGGCTGTCACAAGGAAGAGGGAGTGGATTTATTTTCCATATCCTGAGGGTAAGACAAGAACCAATGGATGGAAGCTTTACAGAAGGAGCTTCCCACACTTGCCCTAAGGAAGAATGTCCTGACTGTGAGAGCTACGAAGCAATGGGGCCGCCTGCCTCCTGGAGTTGTGGGGGCTCCATCACTGAAGGTTTTCAAGAAAAGATGAATGACCATTTCACCGGAAGGGAATGAGGATTCCTGCAGTGGGCAGGGGGCTGGACTAGATGACCTCCCAGTTCCCTTCCAACCCTAGGATTCTATGATCACTCCACCTATTAAAAAAAGGAGGAGACATTTAAAATAGAAGCAGCTGTTAAGAATGTAATTTTGTTTTTCTTTACTCCCTTAGAGAATCAGCACATAGTCTCTGGTCTAAGAAGCATACGTAGCCCTCTTTTCGGTGGTGGGGAGGTGGGAGCAGCCTGTCCCGGGTGCAGGCAATAAGGGGGTGCGTTGTCTGGTGACTTGGGGATGCCGAGCCTACCCAGAAGGGCGGAGCTGGTCGCTGCTGCCGGTGCATCTGTTGGGGGGGGGGCAGCACAACAGCAACCGTGGAGGAGGAGGGGGTGAAAAAGTCATCCACTCTGGGTGTCAAATACACAAGATACACCACTGTCGCCGGAAGTGGAGAAGCCCAGCCATCACCAGAGGACGCCTACCCACAAGCTTAGGGGGTACAAGGCTCGCCTGCCAAACAGCAGAGCCGGTCCCGTTGCTCTCCCACCCACAGTATTAGAACTGAAAGCTGAAAGGCCACGGATGCCAGTTCGGGAGCAGCGGAGCCTTGGTCTGGACCCTGAAGCTAGAGCCTTTATCTAAAGTCCAGTGGGCAGAAGCTCTCTGACCCGTATCACTTGCTCCTTCCACAGGCTTTAGGGAAGATAACATCTGCAGAAGCACAGAATTGCAAATGGGGGAAGAAAGGCAGAATGAGGACCAGGTCTAGTGGGCGTTGAACCGTGATCCACTCTGGGGGCAGAAGGTGGAAGAGGGAGGCAAGGGAAGCTGGACTACAGGCTTTCGCACTGCAGTACTTCATTTGTGAACCTTTCTTCACCCACAACAACGACCCAAACCTCGTCTCACCTGTCCTCAAACTTCGACGAGCTGGGATGAAACTGAATGTTGGTGCTCTGGTTGCTGTACCGCCCGCATTTCTCATCGATGTTGTAGGTTTCGACCTTGTCCGACCAGTCCATCTCGCAGATCTGCTTGTGATCCCGATTTAACCTGGAGGGTTAAGTTGCCACAAAGCTTAGTGCCCAAACCTGGTTGAAAGTCCCCATTGAAGCACAACCGTTTGCACAGTGATACTACACCTGATTGAGGCCAAAAGGCCGAGAAGCGAGTTTTGATTTCATAGGCAAAAGTCAGGGTACAAATCCAACTCCTGTTGGCCCCATCCTCATCAGATGAGGCTCCCCAGAGAAAGGGGCCCCAGCGTGAGAACGGGCGCAATGTTTGATCCCCTAAATATACATGAGGACTAGGAAGACCCTCAGACCTTAGCCATGGGACTACCCTGGGGGACTTTGGGTCAGTCATTATCTCTCAGCCCAACCTACCTCACAGGCTTGTCGTCTAGAAAAATGGAAATATTGTACAGTACTGCACTGATGTATAAGAATATTAAAATACTATTAAAATATGATGCTATTTTTCGAAATTAGCTTTGCTTTCATAGGACACTTATGTGAAAACCGAAAACGTTCACAAACTTGACATTCCACTAATTTCAGAATAGCTTCCCTTTAAAAAACGAAACAAACCAGATTTTGGCTTTGCAGCAGCACCACCATCATCCTGAGGTTTCAGACAAGGACATGACAGAATATTTCTCGTTCTACATGTCACTGGTGGCAATTTAAACTGAGAAATCAGAAAGCTTGACAGGATGTAATGTCATGCTAAGAATATCTCAAGAGTGCAATTGAAAATAATTGGAATATAATTTGAGAAATCATCTCTCTGAAATCATTCCAAGTACATCAAAATCATCTGTAAGAATTAAACGGGGATGAATTTTGTGAAGAATTTGAGACTGGCTAGGCACAGACAAGTAAACATTAAAAGGGGCTTGGAAGAAGTGATTATTTGAGTTGTTGCACAATTTTTTTTTAAATTCTGTAATTTACAGATGTACAGAGTCATAAAATATTGCAGAGTTCTAGGCAGCAGAAAACAAGTTTGAGATTCAAGTCTTCTGCCTGTCCTTTCTTATCCATAATCCTTAATAGCTTAAGCTGCTATCAGATATACAGACTCTCTTTGGTTTTCCTGTATTTTGCTGCCAAAAAGAGGCATAGGGAGAGAAAAAAAACACAGGTTCTACTCTATGGTCTGCCGTATTTTGTCTACAAACAACTATTTTTAAAAATTATTCCTTTTATCCTGCAACTTCGAGCGCGTGGGGGGGCCTATCTCCTTGTTTCCTATATTATACCGCCATCTGGTGGAAGAATGAGAAACGAACCAGAAAATCACCATCTTTTTTGGAAAAGACCAAAATTTGTTTTGCAACACCCAGGAGTTTTCTTCCCCACAAAAGAGGTTTCTCTTCTTCTCTTCTCTTCTCTTCTCTTCTCTTCTCTTCTCTTCTCTTCTCTTCTCTTCTCTTCTCTTCTCTTCTCTTCTC